GGTTATGGGCTGACTTGAATCTCCCCCAAGTCCACATGTTTGAGTCCTGACCCTCGGGACCTCAGAATGTGACTGTGTTTGGAGATGGCGTCTTTAGAAAAGTGATTAAGTTTAAATGAGGTCACGTGTGGTCCCGAGTGCAGTACGATGGTGCCCTTCCCGAAGAGGGAGTTTGCACACAGACACAGGGAGAGTGCTGTGTGAACAAGAAGACAGCCATCAGCAAGCCCCCCAGAGAAGCCCTAGGCAGAAAGCAACACTGCCACACCTTAACATCAGCTTCCTAGCCTGCAGAACTGCGAGCAGATGCATTTCTGTCTGTTGAGCTACCCAGTCTGTGGAACTCTGTTAGGGCAGCCTGGGCAGGCTAATGCACTCAGTGTGCAACACCGAGCTGGTCAGTTAACACTTCTGTGATTTGCATAGTAGGTTAAATGAGATAAGGCCTGAGCAAACACCAGCACATAGTAGTCTCCTCCTCCTCTGGCATGGACATGGCAGCAGGGAAACAGAGATATTGCCGAGTCATTCTGCTTCAGCATGAACCTGCAGGACTTCTAACCCTTGACCCAGCCCTCACCTTTATCCAGATGGCAATCCAGTCCTCAGCACCATATCTGGCCTTGAGGCTGGCTGTCTGTCTGCCAGGCCGTGAGGTAAGCAGGGTCCATAGGGGCTGGGTCAGCAGTGTACTCATGCTTGGCACCTGCCATGAGTGTTCGGCTTGCTTGGTTTAGGCCCTGACACCAGGGCAGAGCTGGAGGGGATAGGGAGGGTGGCCCGGGGAGGGTGGCAGAGAGATCGCATGACAGTGTGTCATGATGATATTTTCCAAATAACTCACACGCCGTATCTCATCTGATGCTCGCAGCAACATTTTCAGGTGGACTGGGCTAATGGGCTCCTCTTGACACAAAGAGAAACTGAGGCCCAGTTAAGGGGCTTCTTCTGACTCAGCGAATCTGTTGGGATTAGGACCTTGGACTCCAGGCTCAGGCTTAGGCTCTGTCCACCCCTGGGACTACGTGCCTACCCTCTACGGCTTCAGGGGGCCGTGGGGTCTGGTGGGAAGCGCATGGACCCAGGAGTTACCAGGCCTGGGCTCAAATCCCCACCTGGCCAGGCTGTGGACTGGCTCTGTGAGAGAGAGAGGCCACCTTTGCCCCTGAAATTCCCAGGCCTGCAATAATGGACAGTTATTGTGGCTGTTGCATAACTAACTGCTCAGTAGATGTTGCTGAATCGAATTCCTGGAGAGCCAGGCAGCGTGTCTGTGGGTGGGAGAGATGTCTGGCACTTCCAGGGGTGGGTGGTGATGGCGGAACAAGGCTTCCTTCTCACAGGCCTCCTGCCCCAGCACCTGGCAGCCCCTGAGAGGGAAGGGACCAGAGAGACCCATGGGTGGGGTGAGGGGTTGGGGGATGTGGGGGTGTGCCGGCCAGTAGGTCTGGAATTTACTGCGCCCTGCCCCACCCCCGCCCTCCGTCCACTATACCTGTCTGAAACCCCTGCCTCCATATTTGTAGTTTCTGGTCAATAAACACTGTTTTCCTTTTTTTCATAGCCTCTCTCATCATCCAAATTAATTCGTATTACTTTATTGTCACTGTCCTCTGCACTTCCCACCCCCCACCACACACAGAGTGATTGACGATCATGCAATGGGGACTTGTCTGCATTACTGCTCTGCCTCTTGCACCTAGAATGACATCTGCCTTCTAGTTGGTGTTTGGTCATTATTTGTGCAGCGAATGAATGAGTAATGAATGAATGAACGAACTAGCTCATCCTTTGCGGTCAGCCCTTTGCTGCATTAAGTCAAAGCCCAACCCTGTTTTTTAGAGGCTTCCAGTCTGGTGACAGAGGCAGACCCAGACAGTGACCCCTGGCGTGACCCATGCTGTGACAGAGGGAAGGAGGGGCCTGGGCTGGGGGAAGCCAGGGCAGGCAGCATGTGGTCCATTCAGGGAAGAGGAGGTTCGGAGTGGAAGGGTCCAGAAGGCCTCTCAAAGGAGCCTCAGAGGAAGAAGTAGAAGATGAGTAGGACTTAGAGGGGCGAGGGAGGAAACGCTGCGGCAGACAACAATCAGCATGTGCAAAGGCATGACGGCAAGAGAGACCACGTTGACTTAGACGCGTCTGATGCTTTAGAGGCAGGGCAGCAATTGAGAAGATGAGAGAGGAGGCACCTGAGGGAAGAGCAGGGGTCTGAAGGGAGCATAGCTGAGGAGTGTGCAAATCTGAGCCGTTTTGTCTCCTGGTTCTTAAAGGCTGAGGTCGGGCCACCGGGACTGTAGCTGTTGTCCAGGGTTGCAGATGCTCCCTCCCTGCTGCTTGACTTTCCCAGGCCGGTGCAATCTCTCCTCACAGCTGGAGAGCCTTCTCCCCTCCCTTCCTCTCCCCTGCCCTCCCCTCCATCCTCTCCCCTTCCCTTCCCTTCCTCTCTCTCACCCCTTGGGAGAGAAAGGGTTGCAGCCAAGGACTGCCCTGACAGAGTTTTGGTATTTTGATCAGAGAAGCCAAGGGAATGCGAGGTGGCTTTTCCAGCCTGGAGATGCCGAGCAATGGCCCCAGGAAGTGACTCATTGCAGCCTTGACAGGGGTGGGGATCAGGCTTCTGACTCTCGCTCCACCAGCCAGAAACCTTTCAGCCCTGGCAGCCATGCAGGAGCCTTGAAGCCAGAGAGGGACTGTGATCTGTCACAGACTCTCACAGACTCTCCTGGAGACCTTTTCAGAAGGTTTCTGCCTCCTTCTGAGCCGCAGTCTTCTCCTTTGTAAAATGGATAAAACAGTACCTGTCTTCTTTCTGCAGAGCCCAGAGACCTGCTCCTCATCCTGGATCTGGCATTGGCTCACCTTGGGCGAGTCTATTCCCCTTTTGTGCCCCAGCCATCCTGTCTGTATGTGAGGGAGTTGGACTTAGGGTCTCTGAACAGCTTTCCAACTCGGACATTTCTCCCCAGGCTCATGGATTCTGTGGGTCCCGTTGGGCCTTGGTGACCACACCCCTGCCAAACAGCCACTCGGGGTCTGCTTGGATGCTTCCAGGAAACCAACCGCATCTTCCTCCCCCTGTGGACAGTTCTAGCACAAATGCCTTCCTCACGCTGTACCTCCTCCCTGCATTGCTGACCCACTGGGGTCCGTCCTGCCTTCAGAAACCACAGAACTCTGTACATTTGAATAGACCCTGGGCCCTGGCTGCCCTGGCTGCCCTGGCCACCCTGGCCACCCTGGCCAGAACTTGTGCTGGCCTCTAAGGACACAGAGGAACCAGAAATAGTTAGGTCCCCCCTAAAGAGCCATGTCACGCTGGGGAAAAGACCAGTGAACACACAGTAAACATATAATGTCAGAAAGAACTTAGGGTCTGAGAGAGAAAGCCAGACCTGCTCTACAGCAAATCACAAGTGAGGGAACTGAAGAGGTAGGGGATGTGTCTTTTTTTAATATTAGCAACCTTTTCACATTTTGTTTCTCAATTACCATTTACATTCAGTATTATTTTGTTTTTGTTTTGGGTGCATGGCATAGTGGTTTGATAATCATACTCTTTACAAAGTGTTCCCCCAACATTTCCAGGACCCACTGGTAGCAAATGTAGTTCCTCGTTGACTCTATTCCCTGTGGTGTACTCGACGTCCCTGCGACTGTCCTGCAGCTCCCAATCTGTCTTTCTCAGTCCCTTACGTTTCTCAGCCAGTCCCCCAAGCCCGCTCCCCTCTGGCAGCCATCAGTCTGTTCACTAAGAGTCTGTTTCTCTTTTGTTTATTTATTTTGTTCTTTAGATTTCACATATAAGTAAAATCATATGGTCTTTGTTTTTCTCTGACTGACTTATTTCACTTAGCATAATACCTTCTAGGTCCATCCATGCCGTCACAAATGGTAAGATCACATTCTTTTTTATGGCCGAGTAATATTCCTCTGTGTCTAGGTACCACAGCTTTTAGATCTGCTCATCTGTTGATGGGCACTTGGGCTGCTTCCATATCTTGGCAGTTGTGAATAATGCCACAGTGAACATAGGGGTGCATATATTCTTTCAAATTAGCATTGTAGGTTTTTTTTAAAGATACATACAGGGTTGGTGTCTTAAGTGCTGGGCCAAGAAATGTCTATGTTGTTCAGCAAGGACCGAGCGAAGCGACAAATCCACTAGAATGACGAGTAGTCTCAGCCGGGCTCTGTCTCGTCATCAAATACCCTCAACGTCTGTCTCCGTGAGGGCCCACGACAGCCCTGCCAGACAGTAACTCTCCTCCTGTTCTGAGATGAAAACACTCAGGCCCAGCGCAGGCACGTGCCCTCCCGAAGTTCCCATGTTCGACACATTTGGCACCAATTTAAAACCAGTCTGGCTAAAAGCCTCTCTCGGTTATGCTGCCTGTCTGTCTTGTGTGTCTGTCTGCTCCTGTCATGTCCTGATTTGGGGTCTGCACCCTCCCCAAGTCCCTGGAACCAGCCCCTGGCTGCTTGTGCATTTCCTAAGGCGAGAGAGCCAAGGCAGGGGCCCCCAGCCAGAGTCGGGACTTCAGGCCTGAGCGAGGGTCAGGACGCTCCTCACCCCAGAGAGACCTCAGGCACTGTCCACAGCCCTCTGCGTGGGTGAGGAGGGACTTTCCCCACGTCCCCAGATGTCCCCTTCAGGACGGCCTTTGCCCCAACAGCCTGGCAGTGGCAGGGCCCTGGTCTGGGGGCCGGAGTCCAGGCTGCAGCAAAGGAGGGCTCTTCCCCTTCAGGGAGGAGGGATGATGGAAGCAGCACTCAGAACTGCAGCTGAGTCAGACACCGTTTGGGTCTGCTCTGGAAGGGCAGACGTGATTCTGAATGTCCTCCCCACCCTCTCTCAAGGCCCCGCCCAAGTCTCTGGGGGCAGCAGCTGGGCCCACCCCATACCCCAGTGGGATGTCCTTTCATTTAGGAAGGGAGTTCCGCAGTCAGTGATGGGTGGGGGGAGTGGGAAGGGATGAGATCAGTGAGTCCCAGCTGCCTGCTGGTGTGGAGAATAGAGTCCTTACGCCACACAGTCCAGTATCCAGCTGTGCGACCTTGGTCGGAGCTCCTAACCTTTTTGAACTTCGTTTTTCGAATCTGTAAGTGTTGGTAATAATAGTACTGGCTATTGGGGGCTACCGATAGTGAGGATAAAATAGAATTAGAGGGAAGTGTGTCTATAAAGCACCTGGCCTAGAGCCTGGTTGTAGTGGACACTATGGCCTTGCTGGTCACGAGAAAGAGGGCGGCGAGGGGAGAAGCGCGATGCCAGCAGTTATGTGGGACAGAGTGGGGCACGCTCGGCCTCTCCCAGCGGGGGGGGGGGGGTGCTGTCCTGCTTCCCGGCTTCGCACTGCCAGTTTCTTCTCCCTTGTTCCCACGTGTCCCGGGATCTCCTGCTCCAGTTCCACGATGCGTCCTGAGGAACTGAGGCTCCTTGTGGCACCAGCCCCTGTGGACCTGAGCCTGGATGAAGAGCTCATGCAGCTCAGCACCAACAACTGCACCCTGGTCATGTGGGAGCACCCGCTTACAGGAATTAGTAGAAGCTTTCTCAGGAGAGGCAGAGTTGAGCCCGTGTTGTAGATGAGCAGAAATGGGCTGGAAGAAGGGAATAGGATTTTTTTTCTGCATTTAAAGGCATTCCAGACAGATGAAATAACATGTGCAAAAGCAGAGAGGTGTGAATAGCATGCTGAGCTTGGGAAGCTGCAAGAAGCACAGTATGGCTGGTAAGTTGGAAACAAGTGGGGAGGGGTGAGAGATAAGAGCGGAGGGGAGCAGATGTTGGGGGCAGATCGTGAAAAGCCTCGTGCACTAAATAAGGCATTCCAAAGGAAGGTATTTTGAAGGCAATGGCGACGTATTCTTTTCATCATGAAACAGACGTTCCTGAGGATGTACTTGACCCAGGGGGCCCTGCAGTCCACTGCCCAGCCGCGGTTGTCTCCCACCTGAGACTGGAAGATTCGTCCCTCCTTGGCTGCCAGCTTGCAGACGAACTTTGTTCCTTCCCATGCCTCAGGCTGAAGAGACACTCCTCGTCGAATGTCACTCCCCTGCCCTGACAAGCCCGCGTCCTATAATTGGCCCACATGGTGGAATAAAGGCCCAGCCCCCTTCTCCAACTGTGAGAAGTCATTCCAACTCCAGAGCTCCCCGAGAGACGGGCTGAGGCCTTTGTGGGGTCTGTATCACAGCCCCAGTGGTCCCACTGCCCAACAGGTATTGTTCTTGAGATCAACTGTCAATAAACCTTTTGCCAACAAATTATCTGAGAAACTCCTTGCCCCGGAACTCCAAACTACGCCAGCCATCCCTGAGGGCTGTCCTCGCTGGTCGCCCCCTCACTGTGGGGTCAAAGAGAGACCCTGCTGGTGGAAGGCAGCTCGCAGTGCGAAATGAAATAGGGGGAGAGACTGGAGCCCAGAAGCTACTGAGAAGGTTGGCCTGACTTAGCAGAGGAATGATGGGGACGCGGGTGGGTCGGGACAGGAAGGAGGGACGGATCCAGAGGACTTAGAGGAAACAGAATTGCCAGATGGGGGCCAGACTGGGTGTGGATGCTGCCTGGAGCAGCTGGGCAGAGGTGGAGCCAATTTCTCAGATGGGTTTAGCAGGACTCAGTTCAGTTTGGGAGTGGACAGCATACCATGCCTATGAGACATCGAGGTGGAGCCCAGGGGGCGGGGCTGAGTCCCCATGATCAGGAGGCGGGATCTGAGCTGAAGGTGTGGGTCTGGGGATTCAACAGCTCAGGCAGTTTACAAAGCATTTCCGCTTAGCCATTAGGTCAATATGGGTACCAGCCAACCAGAGGCATCACCAGGGTCCTGGAGACCCCCTGTTGGGCTAGATGTTAACTCTTTAGTTGCTGGACCGTGGGGGCAGGGTGGTTTACTGAATGTGAGGGGCACTGAGCGGGGCTCTGAGCAGCAGCTATTCACAGTCAGTGTCCTCGTGTGCCAGCGGGACATCTGTGCTCCTAGTTCTTCACATGACCCCCACAGGAGTCCACTGAGGGAGATGTTACCATCCCTTCTTAAAAAGAGAAAGCCGGGGCTCTGTGTGGGGGGTGAGTGACTTGCCAGAAAACGGACAGCTTCTGCACATCAAAGGTTCTGCACCCTGCACCCGCCTGACCCTGTGTCCCATATCTGTGGAGGCCAGAACCCGGAATTCTTGTCTCTTTATCCGTATCCTTTCCCCTTGGTTAAATGACCACTTCCTGTACTGAATTCCAGAACTTCTAATCACTAGCCATTGTCTCCTTCCAAGAAACGGTGCTAAGAATCTCCAGGCCTCTGAGGGAGGGGTGTGGGGGGGTAAGCCCAGGCTGGAGGGAGGTTTGGGCCCTGAGGATCCCCCAGCTCCTGGTCTGGAGCCCAGTGTGAAGGAAGGTTCCTGGCCTCCCTGATGGGCAGTGGCAGGAGACCTGGTGGGGGAGGCTGCCCCGCCCCACCTGGGGCCCCCCACTTCCAGCCGGGGCCCTCCAGGGAAAAGGGCAACTTGAAGCAGTGAGAATCTTGTTACTGAAAATGCTCCTTTGGGATCTAGCTAGTCACACATTTGTTCATCCCTTTATTTAATAATGTTGAACAGCTATTTAGGAAGTGCCTCTCGTGTGTCTGTGCCACCTGGGTCCTGCCCTCGCCTGGGTCCAGGCAGGTAGAGGAGTTGGGTGCTGAACAGTGAGACAGACTAGGGAGTCCACAAGGCTGTTCTGTTTGTCCCTGGGTCCCTAAGGCCAGCACAGATATGCTGTCAGGAGCTATTGATTATTGATAAAGAAAGAAAGGGCTGAAGCTGGACAAAATGGCTGCCTGCCTGGCATCAGATAAGACCTTGCAGTGGGAGTTGGGGGGGTGCACCCCCATCCCCAGAGAGCACCAGCCTCTGCCCTCAGTGTTTGACAGCCACTGACCCAGGAACAGGAGGCTGGATGCCGAGATGCCAGGGCCTCCGTGGAGCTGCAACCTTCAGTTCTGCCGTGGCTCCGGGTGGCAGCCGGCTGCCAAAAGAACATTTTGGCTGTTTTCTTAGCGGTGACCCAGAACGCACTGAACGGACTTTCCTGTTAACCCCTGCTCGGGGAGTCCGGAGAGAGCTGGCGGGGAGAACGGAAAAGGGAGAGGCCCCTTCGGTGTCCTGTCCCCAAGCCCACCAGCAGTCTTGGGCATGACTTCATAGGGTTGCACCGTGTCAGGTTTTTAAAAGTGCGACCTGGTTTGTTTCTTTCTTTTCTTTGAACTCTGAAGACTTTTCTGCGGAGATGATTGTAGAAGCTGGCTGCTTTCTCTCCTCCAGTCTCTGTCACAATTTCATGTTCCTCCCCACAGGGCCGCGGTTCTCCCGAGAGGTCAGGCTGCCCTGTGACCGCCCACGGGAGGGGAAGAGGAAGAAGGGACTGCATGAGAAGGGGGACGAGATGGGGGAGACCAAGCTTCAGTGAGTGCCCACCTCTGGGCCATGGTTTTTGAGACAAGGAGACAGGTAAAATAACGTACATGAGAGCACACGGTTAATGATGTGCTAATACTAAGAAAATGATAACTATTGGGTGAAACCATTATTTGAAAACCCAACAATTTCTTACGGTTCAACAGAATACACGGTGTTCAGGCACAGCCCAGGCTGTTGCATCTGCTCAGCGAGGAAGGCCATGTGATTCTGATTTTGAAGCTGAAGAAATGGAGGCTGAGAGAGTTCAGGGGACTTGCGGATGCCTTCCTGCGAGTCAGCTTCTAAAGACCCTCAATTCCTGGACCTCAAGCCGGAAGCCCCTTTGTATAAGCCTCCTGTCAGAGCTCATGGGGAAGAGACACTGGAGGAGGGGGTGTTGGGGGCTGCAATAGGCTCTGCCTTGCGGTGCCAGGGCCTCAGGCAGGTCTCTGCCCTCCCTGGGACTCACTGTCCACAACTGTAAAGGGAGGGGTGGAACTCAAGTCTTTCTCACTGTGACCATCTCTTGGATGTATGACGTGTGTGTGTGGGGCCACGTCTACCTCAGAAGTGCTCCCAGAGCCTAGGGTGGCTCTTGGTTCAGAGAGGGCCTCAGGGAACCTGCCCTGACTATGGCGGGGCTGGGCCAGGGGTAGGGGGCTTGAAGGCACCAAGCGAGTGTGCCTGCAGTTCAGGGCTGCTCCTCGTGGGGTGGGAGGCTGCCTTCCTGGCGACAGGGTGAGTCCTTTCTGCCCAGGCCTCGAAAGGGAGAGATTTTGGGAGTCCCTCCCAGCCTCACTGGGGTGCTCATAGCCTAGGACGCCCCTTGACAGAAAGGCCCACTGCTCTTGACCTTTACTGGACCTTCTGAAAGGTCAGAGTTGGAAGCTTGCTAGGGGGCTGCAGTGTCTAGAGGCCTCCCCCGAACTGCCACAGTCACTTACATCACCAGGTTCTGAGTCGTGTTCTTTCACTCCCATTGTAGGGAAAGAAGACTGAGCCCAAGGCAATGCCCAGAGGAGGCAGAGCTGTCTGTCTGCCTGCCTCAGGTCCACCCCACCTTCTCCCGCAGCTACTCGGGAGAGGAGCAAGGACAACGCCCGTGAGGATAGCAGCCAGGCTCCAGGAAGGGAGGGAAGCCTGTGGCCCCAGGGAAAGAGCTCAGAGGTGCTGGGCACCAAGACCTGGGTTGACCTTCTAGTTCACAGACTTGAGTTGGCTCACGGGGGAGGCATTATGGGCCTTCGTTGTACCTTCTGACAGGACAGCCATAGGAGCCACTGTGACCATTTATTGAGCACTTACTATGTACCAAGCAAGGTACTCAACTCTTTGCATTTCTTCTCACATATGATCCTCACAACAGCCCGGTGAGTAAATTACTATTTTTAATCTCATTTTACAGCTGGAAAAAAAAAATCGTAGGGATATTACATAACTTTTCCAAGTTCAGGCACCTAGTAAGTGGTAGAGTTAAGGTACAAACCCAGGCTATAAAACTTGTACTATGACATTATACTAGTTCCATCCATCTATCCATTCATCCAGTTACTCACTTGTATCAGACAGGGTCCCAGTAGAAAACAGACTCTCACTTAATTAGGATAATTCAAAGTGGATTCAACAAAGGGACTATGCATAAAGATGGGTGTGTGTGTGTGTGTGTGTGTGTGTGTGAAGGGAGACCACGCAGATCCTGCCCTACCCTAGAATCAGAAAAAGCAAAGTTGGTGTTCCCTAGAACCTGAAAGAGTGAGGAGAGGGACACGTTACTGGAACCTGGGGTGAGAGTCCCACGCAGAGGGGCCTGGCAGGAGTGGCGCCCTTTGCCCAGAGCTGCACCAGTCTGGGCCACCACCCAGAGAGGGGGCCTGGGGGATCGGTACTCTGGCGTCCTCCCTTCCTCTCTCATTCTTCCATCTCCTGCTGGGCTCCCCTTTGCCTAGACCTAACCAGAAGCCAAAAGGCATTGGAGCCCGTTGGTGCAGCCCCTTCAGGCCAGCATCCGGGGCACAGGGTAGGGTGTGAAAAGGTGGACAACGGATCTAGAGGGGCAAAGGGAGGACACCGCCCGTCCGCCCTACATGTCTCTCTGGCGCTGTGCACTGTAAGGCTCTGCTGCTGGTGTGAGGATACTGTTCCAGGCAAAACAGACGTTAGTTCATTCATTCATTCATTCATTCATTCATTCATTCATTCATTCACCAAGCGCCTTTGAGGCCTCTGTGAGAAGCTCTGCCCTGGGTGCTAGGGACCCAGGGAGGGGTGGGACCCAGCCACGTCCTTGGACTGCTCAAAAACCGCTGCTAAGTGGTCCTGAGATGCCACCCGGGCTGCCTGCTTCCTTGTCGGTCTGGGGGTGGGTCGGATGAGATGGAAGTGGTCCAACCAGCAGAAAACCTATTTGCTGACTTTGCTAATTGACCAATTATTCTTAAGATTCTATGTGTCTTTTGGGGATGGGAGGGGTAGTCAGGGCCGAGGTGAGGCTTGGTGCCTTGATATCATTAACATCCTTATCTTATGATGAAGAAACAGAGCCTTGTCCTGTGAGACCACGTCACGACCCCAGAACTTCCAGGATGCCTGGGGTACACAGGGTGGTAGGCAGAGCCCATTCCTCATAAAACCTGGCCTCTAGCCACGTGCCCTTGGAGGAGCCCCCGCCTCCCTCCTGGCCTGTCTCCTCAGCTGTATGGAGGCTGCTGGGACCTCCAGCTTTGAGGTTTGCTGGGTCTGAGAGGAGGCCACAGCCGCGGACTCCTGTCCCTTTCCCTGCACCATCCCCAGAGCTTTGGACGGGCCCACTTGGGTGC